TCGTGACGTTGACGTTCAGGATGACGTCAGGACGACGTTAACGCTACGTCATAACCATGTTTGACGTTGCGTGGGGCCTGGACGTCAACGTCGGCATTAACGAACACGTCCGCGTCGTCCTCAATGTGGCGCGCGACGTCATGATCGCGTTACAACGGCGGCTTGATGTTGCCTAACGGCGTCGTCCTCAATCCGACGTCACGACCGCGTTACAGCAGCGACTTGATGTCGTCAAACGGTGTCGTCCTCAACGCGACGCGATGTCACGACGGCCTTACGACAGCATCTTGGCGTCGCGTAACGTTGTTGACGATGACGTCGTGGCGTCGTCGTGTCTTGGTGCTTTGACGTTACCTCTGACGTCAAACTCATAAAAAATACAATATAGCCGTTAAAAGGGCACTGACACTCCAAAGGTCGTATTATTTTTTATTGTCTAAAGACACGCAAAAAAAAAAAAAAAAAAAAAAAAAACGCATCGCGAAAAAAAAATGTTTGCGCGCGCGCGCGCCTTTTTATTTTTGGCGTTTATATTTCCCGCGCTCACCTCCTTGCTTATTTTGATCGGTGACGTCAAAAATCAGGAAATTTAGAAGCTTTGTAGGCGACGCTTCTATAACATTTAATAACGGAAATCGTAAAACATGTTTTTTAACGCAATTGCGAACGCACTACGGCCCCTCTTTTTGAAATATCAAAAATCAGATTTCGGTGTGATGTCGCTTCCTGAATTTGTATCCTCCCTCGGAAAACTTGGCGGCGCTTGAGCAGAGGCTCATCGGCGAGTCGGGGAAGAAGCCGTTTTTTTCCCGTGCCCTTCTATCCCGCCTAGCTGCTCACCTCCTCGCTTCGGGTCGCGGTGGCAACGGCGCTTTGCTTCATGGCGTGGAGCGGAGGTCCGAAAGAAAGTCGAGTCGCAGGAGACCGCAAAATTTGACTTACTGCACTGGCGCGGACGCGCGGGAACTTCAATTTCGGCATTTGGAATTTTTTTTTTTTTTTTTTTTAAATTCAGAAGTACTGAATTTCCAAGTTTCGAGTTTTGAGGGTAATGTCCCAGCATCGTTTTCAATCGTTTCGGATAATAAAAAAAACTATGATTTTGATGTGTCAGTGCCCCTTTAAGGGGCTATATTGCCCATATGACCTTGACTTGTGTCGTTGCTTGATCGCAGCGAAAGTAACGCTGCGATAAAAGTGGCTTGGTTCCACCTGATCGCTTTCCTCATTTTAAATTGCAACTGAAAGCATGAGCGGAGCCTATAGCTCGTCCCTTCTAGTACACTCTATCGCAATAGAAACTCGTAAACGAAGATGATTTAGGCCACTGTGGCCAGACGGGTCTGACGTTTTAAAGCAAGTCTCGTTTAGGTGCGCCCTTAGAATTAGACAAAAAATAAAATAAAGTACCGCAGAAGCAAGCACAAATAATATTTAGGTTTTATATATGGAATATTTCACGCACAATAATCAAAAACTGCGAGTCAAACAGATTTCGAGGAATACTTGTCTATCCCGTGCTCCTCTCGCGGTTTAGCAGGAAAGCAATCGACATCAACTTAAAGTGCTCTGTTTTGTCGTGTGATCAAGAATGCCTTTTACTACAGGTGCCTTCAACTAAGGGACCTAAGCTAAGGGTACCTTCACGCTGCCGTGTGAATTGGGTATTAGAAGTACCGTCCCGGAGGACCGTAGGTATATGATGGATGAAAAGATTAGTATTCGGTCAGCTTCGAAACGAGCTCACATTAATAGGTTGATAAGACCGGCAAACTTGATGGTGTGGAATGCACGTTGCGTAAAAACTGAGGAAGCTCGCCATCAGCACGCGCTCAGCAGTCGCGCAGACAACAATGGCCTCCAGTGTATGCTCCCTGTTGCTCCAGTTGCTAATACGACGTGTTTATCGTTTAGTTTTTGGCATTGTACTTTTCCTTAACAAAAATTAAAAGAATGAAAACGAACGCTTGCTTTCTAGTTAATTTTATATAACGGGTTAACTTAGCTATCCGAAATCGTATGGGCTGCACTACCCTACCAAGTTACTGCCTTTCTGTTTTTGCTTCTAACTCACTCGGGCCGACGAAGGTACTGCCTTGCTTTTATAATGCACGCGTTACAAGTTGACGGTTTACGACAACCCCCTTCTTTCCTTTGTGCAGCAGTGTTATTTAAACCTTTTCGAGCGTGGCGTCGTGTTGACGGCCAACGCGGAATCCGAAATTGAATTCTCGTCTCTGCGCGAGTACATACCGCACTGCTGCGGGCGGTATAGTATTGACGAAACGACAGAAAACCCTCCTGTACTGGCTCGGTTCCTTGGAAACGACCTTGACTATCAAAAAAACAAATGAACAAAACAATAGAAGGACAAGATAAATGCGAATCGGACAGAGACACACACACAAAAACAAATGGGACAGCGGGAGTTGTCTCTACGGTTCGCTCGTGTGTTCAATATTGTTGTTCGGGGAGTGTGCCTAGATTACAGAGTGTTTCAAAATGCTAGGTTGGGACCACGTCGGTCATGGCCCGCGTTCGCAATGCGAGCTGCGAGGAAGACTCGAAAGTGTCGATCGTCAGTCACCAAGGGTCTCGATGCCCTTTCCTCCTCTCCACGCGACAACTGAACGCATGCGCACTTGCGGCGACCATCATGCGCAGGAGGAAGCGTCCGCCATTATATTGCGAGCGATTTCCACGGTTTGAGTCGCTTCCTCTCTTAGATCTGGGCTCTCTAGGAAGACGTTCCCCATATTTACGTACGGGCCCTTCTCTGTTGACTCGTTTCCGGGGATGAAAGGCGGGTACACTGCTGACGTTTCGTGACGAGACTGCACGTTTCCATGCGCCTTCTGGGGAAGTCGTTTCTTGTGTCGCTTAATCCGAGGAAGTCGTTCTTCGCTTCGGAAACTCTCGGTTGTTGTCCGCCCATGCAAATATTCGGGAGCAAAATTTTGATCGAAGACTAGCTTCATTCGCCGAGATGTAAGTCGAGAAGTTAAGCCGCCTTTCTGCATCTGCTACATACGGGGAAAAGTCGTCGCGTGGGCGAAAAAACAAACAAACAAATAGCCCCCGGATTTGTACGAGAAATAAAGAAAAAAAAAAAAAAAAAGACCGGGGCGGTTAAAAAGCGAGTTTAAATTTCGCTGATCCAATAACGTGGAAGAGAAATATGCGTGGGACGTAAAGTAGGATTAGAGAGTTGTGCGTACGCATCTCGTGTTGAGGATTTTATGGTAGTCGCTTGCAGAGTGGGGCAAAACTCTTCACTCAAATAAATATTCAATTGAATTTGGACTCTCTGAGATTATCTAAGTCAAATTCACGAAACTTTTAATGTCTTTATTTATTTTAGAGGTTGGACGGAGGCAGATACTTTTCGCTCGAGTGATTTGAACCATTACTCTAACGACATCGGACAAAAAAGCGATACGACGAAAAAAAAAAAAAAAAAGCAAGAAGAAAGAAAGAAGAAAAAACAAGAACACGAGCACACGCTGACTTTATTATACATATAAATCGAGTATTTGTTGACTGGTTCAGCTGATTCAGTAAAACGTAACTGCACTGCAGAGAAAAAAAAATAAAGAAATAAAAAAAGCTTTGTTTGGTTTAGCGCGCAGGTTTGGCCGCATTTTTTCCCACGAACATGTACTCCGTTCTGGAGTGAATGATGAACGTCATTCAGGCCCTATGATGAGCAAATTAATTAGTGCTAATTTCGAACATCTGCACGAGTGCGGATGCTCAAAATACACGCAGATTTAGGCACCGAGTTACACTTTTTTTTTCTATTAGATTCGAGGTTCGTTTATGCAGCATTTCATGGGGAAAGAATAAACTATTCACGCTTTTTATTGGCTCGAATTTTCGTTTATAAGCACGTTTGTGTACCCAAGCATCCGTAGTTTATGATCACCTGTTTTAAACCCACTAGTGCCAAATAGGAAGGTGCTCTGAAGCCCTCGGCACCTACAAACTAAAACAATTTCTCACATTTCAGGGCGTAAATCAGCTCTTGTGTTCCAAAACGAAGGTTGATGCATGCGGCGGCACCTCGTTTAACATTAAAAAGGGTGTATCTCTCGAAATAAGGGATCTGAAGGGGCGTACCCATGGGTGTAAGCCTTTGAAACATACTTTTTACAATCCGAAGAGTGTGAAATGTTTTAGTGCGCACGCTGTACCAAATCATTTTGACATAAACAAAATTATTTAAAAGACAGAAGAGAGCGTGTCGGTTTCCGGCATGCGCGAGTAGCACACACAAAAGAAGATTGTTTCGTGAAAGTTTCAGACATTGTTTCATGACAGTTTCAGACATTGTTTTGTGACAGTTTAAGACATTGTTTCGCGACAGTTTCAGACACTGTTTCTTCCCAGCTTAAGAAACGTAGGTGGTGGCTGTTTGTGCTCACGCTTTTTACTTCGTAATTTGTTTTTCGGCGCTCTTATCGGCTACGTCTGATTGGCTGGTGGGTGATATGCTGGGGTCTCGTCACGCCCCGCGTTTCTCGGGCCGCAGTCGTACTGACGTCGCACAAAAGTGAGGCAGCAGACACTGTTCGAGGTCGGAGTCTGCAGACACTAGCTGCGTTCAATTTACCTGCAAAGATGCAGAAGTGTGTAGCGCAGTCTACTTCCGGTATGCGTATTGAGATAGGACCGGAAGTCCACCGCCCTACACATTTTCTGCACCGGTGCAGGAGGTGCATGCAAATCGAACGCGGCTATTTTCTGATGCGTGTTTATTTCTTGCATGACGGTCGCCTTGTTCGTGTCAAACGCTGTCTGCAAACCTGTTTGAAGCATACATATGTGTGAAGCAAACACGCTTTGAAAATGTTCGACGCGTGCCCGCAAATAGTCATCGTGTCTGAGGCAAACATCGTGTCTTTTGTTTTCGACGTACGAGTGGCGTGACTTGAATGGGCCGTAAGCGACTAGGAGAATTAGAATCCGGGCAGGGTCGAACGATAGCGAGCGTCGCTCACCTCGTAGATGAAGGCGTACTGCTCCTTGGTCTGGACGCAGCCGCTGCGGTCCTGGCGCAGCTTGAACACGACCCGAGGAACGTCCACCCGACGCCGCTCCTCGAGCTCGTGCATGCACACGTCCACCGCCAGGACGGTGCCCGTCCGTCCCGTGCCGGGGCTGCAAGAACACGTAGAGACCTTCGCAAAAAAATCGCCTTTGGCGCGCTGCCGTCTTTGTCTGCTGGGCTGTGGAACGCCTTCTGAGCATGCGCTGTTGCTCGGCTGCGCGGTACATCAGATGCTACGCATGCGTGTACACTCAATGACTCAGCAGTTTTCACCCGGGCTATAAATGCAAAGCTCTATAGTAGGAGCAAAAACAACGCACTCGTGCACTCTCAGAAATCTAGAGCTGTCAGCGCTCCCGGAAAAAGCGATTGGGAAAGCCAATCGCTTCAATCTACGGAGGGTGCTCGGCGAATGACTGGGCTGATAATAAATGTTTTGAAGTTTAAACCTAAAAGAAAGTGTGTACGCTGTGGAACTGGGCACGGCGGTTCACCGTGCTCAGTAACTCAACGGAGAGAGTTTTTTTTTTTTTTTTTTAAGGTTTAACTTTGAACATTTTATTAGCGCCGTTATTTACTGAGCGCTCTCCGTAAGTGATTCGATTTTCCGAGTTCTTTGCCGGAAAGCTGTCGCTTCTGATTTCTTAGAGCGTGGAATAATGTACCAAAAATACGTCGTGAAAATATTTTCTTTTCTTTAAGTTGATAGTGTGCACGTTGGCATGTAGGGATATAGAAAAGCTTGCACTTGTCTGACGACGATCGAGGCAGACGGGCACGTGTCATAAGCCATCCAGAGCTGTAAGAGCGTACGACGAAATAGTAGACCTTGTAAGCTATCGGGTCACTTCCAAACAATTCCTTCTTAGAGTAGGTTTCTAATGATTTCGATATTCCTCCCTCAAAATAATGGAAGTCGAATGTTTTATAAAATTCGAAGCAATTATTTATTGTTATAAAGAGTTAAACGAGAAGACACTGGGGAAAAAACGGGGCTGTGTCTTTGCGGTGCATTGCTCAAGAAAACGTCAAGATCCTATACAAACAAAAATGGCGGAATGTAGGAGACGAGAGCACGCGAGGACGTCGGAACGCCGAGCTTTGACTGGAAATTTTAGCAGGACGCAAAGTTAGCTGCCTTAGTTTCTACTCACTCCTCGAACACGTTTGAAACGCGCTGGAACAGCGAGTAAAGACAAAGACAGGTAGCCTTTTCGCCTACCCGAAAATCATTCTAGTGAGTGCTCGGCTCTCTGGCATCTCTGCGCGCTCTCATTCCCTCCTATCCCTCAGTTTCTTTTCTACACTGTAGCATTGCATGTCTCCTATAAACACTATACTCTGGCGTCTTTATGGCACGTCGAGAACAGTCATATAACCAGCACGTTCCCGCTTCGGTTCCCCAGCTATATCCCCTCCAGTCCACTCTTTCCTATGGCGAGGCATTGGGAGAACTTCCGCACAGCCAGCGACTGCCTCGTCCCCTGAACCGAGCGTACGCCCGATCAGGAGAGGAAGACGGCACGTGTACTTTACTTTGGCGCGCATGCGCAAGCACGCGCACGCGCGGGAGAGTAAGGGGTTGCTTAAAAAAATGCTACTGCATACAAAAATGCATAAAATAAAACTACGACAGGCGCAGGCAAGCCCGCGAACGACTTCCATACTTCAACCGCGGACAAGGCCGAATAAAATAACGGACATACCTACACATACCGTTTAAAAGATTCGGCTTATTACTTTTACAACTGAAATAATTTTTGCCGTTTTTTTTTATTTCTTTTTTTTTTGTGGGAGGGGAGAACAACTTTTGACGTGCCATGTTTTATTTGTGGACAGTCGGGAAAGCAAGGTCTATATAATTTTCTGCGATAGGAGTGCCAACAAGCAGTCCGTTTTGTCGTGCACAACCCGCCCAAATGAATAGTGAACCGAACCGCGAGGCACTGGGAAACCAATTGCAACACGGCACCTGCATCCTATGAAAGGTGGGTGTACCCGTCTTTGATCGCTCGGCAATGCGTTGAGGTTTAGGCTGTCCGGCGCAAATTTCATACGCGCTCCACCGGGGGAATAGCCCATGCTAACCGACAGCTGAAGGAACACTTGACGTGGCGAATTCGTAGCCAATGAGACTGCAGCATTAGGCGCTAAGATTCCCAAACAACCAATCACGGAACGGAAAGAATGATTACCATACTAGGTCACGGCTTGCGTTTCTAAGGCTCTCAGTGACTAACATATCAAGCTGCGTTTGACATAACCTCACTCGGTTAGTTCCTTCTTTTTTTCATTCTTTCGTTTGACACTTCCCTTTAAAGTTTTGATAATAATGCAATTAAAGACAAAGGTGCAAGCGAGCTGGACAAGAATGACGAATATAATCTCTGGAGAAGGGAAACATTTTCATTTAATTTCATTTCATTTCATTTTATTCACCTCAAGGGCGTCCGATGGACGCATTACATGAGGGGAGATTCAAAACATATGACAAAGATTTAAAAAAAGAAAAAAAGACCGAATAGCAAAACACGGAAAAGTGAAATGTGATCGCGGATTCACCCATTGTCGTCGAAGAAAGCGAAATAAAGAAAGAATATGGCCCCAACAAAGCACAAAATCTATTATACAAGAACATGATCAAGGTGAGTAATTGTGCAATAGTGAACACTGATCTCTAAACGAAATGGGATTGCTGTCAGTAACAATATGATCAGGTAGTGCATTCCAGTCTCTCATACAAAGTAATAAGGGGGAGAAAAGGAAAGTGTTAGTGCGACTCAAGAATGGTTCTAGTTTCCGACAATGATCTAGTCTTGGCGATGTAAAACTGACAGGGCGGCAATAAACTGATTTAAACGGCGAATCGCTGTAATAGATGCTTTGTGAAAAAAAAACAAAAACAAAGCCGAGTTATTTTACGTCTTAGTTCAAGAGGAGAGAAATTATTGCTAGTTTTTAAGGCCGAGACACTAGTTTCCGGTGAGTAGTTGTTGTGCATAAATCTTACTGCTTTGTTTTGGACATATTCGATTCTTTGAAAAGGTAAGTTTGGTGGGGGTTCCAAATGGTGCATGCATACTCTAATTTGGGAAGCATTATTGTCTTGTATCCGAGTAGTTTTGTTTTAGGTGGGGCAATATATAATGTTCGTCGCAAGAAGTCAGGCGTTTTCAAGGCACTGCTTGTAATGCATTCAATGTGGTCGTTCCTTGATAGGGTGTCTGTAAAATGTATTCCCAAGTACTTAGACGATGTTACATGTTCCAGGTGTTGTGATAACAATAAATATTGTGATTGTGTTACTGCAGAAGACTTAGTGACGGACATATGTTTACATTTGCGAGCGTTTATGCTCATCTGCCACATAGAGCACCACGAAGATCTCGTATTTAAATCGTCTTGAAGTAGAGTTGAATCGTTATTTGTAATAATTTTTCGGTAAATAACGCAGTCGTTGGCAAAGAGCCTATTTGTGGAGTTTATGAAAGAAGGAAGGTCATTTATGTATTTTAAAAACAACAGAGGACCGAGAACACTACCCCGGGGGACCCCGGACGCAACAGTGGACGGACGCGATGATGATTGGTTAATTTTGACTATTTGTTTTCTGTTTTCAAGAAAGAAAGAAATCCAGTTAATGACGAAAGGATCGATTTGTAGACGTGAAAGTTTAAGAAGAAGGCGATGATGAGGAACAGTATCGAATGCTTTAGCGAAGTCACTAAAGATGATACCGGTCTGAGCGGTAAGAGGAGTATTGAAGTGAATATCCGTAACAAATACGAAAACTTTACTAGTGCACGAGTGACCTTTTCGGAAACCATGTTGATTAGAAAAAAAGAAGTTACACTTGTCTAGGTGAGATATGATATGTGTATACAAAACATGTTCCATGAGTTTGCATGGCACGCTGGTAAGTAAAATGGGGCGATAGTTCGTAGGATCGGAATGGTCTCCTGATTTAAAGATCGGCATGACCTTGGCGTAGCGCCAGTCAAGTGGGACTGAGCCGGAGTTATGGGATTGTTGGAATAGTTTGCAAAAGATATTTGAAGCTGCATGCTTGATTATTTTCAGAAATGTAGCAGGATTTCCATCATCACCGGGTGCACTGCTCGTGGGCAGGTCTTCTATTACTTTGAAAATGTCGTTCAGATTAAACAAGATGGGCAGCATAAGTGGATAACTATTTGTAATAGCGTAATGGGGTGATGGGTGTGTTTCCTGGGTAAACACGCTAGAGAAGAATGTGTTTAGCAAATTAGCAGCATCAACATCACTTATCTTTTCGTTCTGTTCATTTGTAAATGTTGGGCGATTTCTGTTCGATTTAGGGTTAAGAATTTTCCGAAATTTCTGGGGAACAGATGAATGCATGCCGGGAGAGGTCACAGAAAAAAAGCGTTTCTTAGCATCTTTTACATTTAGTTTACATTGTTTTGAGAAGGTTTTGTAATATGTCCAGTCGACAGAATCATCCGTTCGTTTAGCCATGGAAAATAATCTTTTTTTCTTGTTTAGTTCGCGCTTTAAAGACCGACCAACGAAACCATTTTCCGCAAGGTAGGAAAATGCCCCTCGCGCCCTCCTTTTTTCACCCTCTCCCAAAAATCACATGACGGCAGAGGCTTCTATTGTGTCGGCTTTTTCTGTAGGGATAATCCTCAAAAAGCGCGAAACGAGCGGGTAACTGCGAGCGCCACAACGACCTTGAGACGTCCAGGTGTCTTCCCTCGTTGACGTGGGGACGCGCAATCCGCAGGATTGAGGAAGCCAGCGCGACCGAACTCTTTTTTCCATGAGCTGCAGGTCCGAGGCCGCTCGGTCGGTGGAAATCGAGGGGTCGTGGTATGCTGGGTTCGTTCCAGCAGCCGCTTTCTGGCATCGCGCGGCTGCCGGAACCATTCCCGTGTCTGCACACGGATTGGCTTGCGCAATAAAGGGTTCAGGTCGTCGATAATACATTTATTTCCGAAACTTATAAATCAAGCGGCTTACCCTAATCTCTTCATTACTGTTTGAAACACGTCTCCTCTCATAGGTTGTTCATCCCATTTTGGACTCTTTTGCGTATTTATTCCTCCTTACGTCTGCTTGATGACTGTTC